ATAGCAGCAGACGTCAAGCTCTGGGACTGGCTGTTAACACGTTCGAGGCGGCGTGTACTCCCGGGAGTACACGAAAAACTCCTCTTTCGACATATCGTGTACTACTGGGAATACACGCGCCTCTTCGCTTATTTTTTTGTGATTTTTTCACTTTTTTCACCAATAGTTGGCTACAAATTATAGTACAAATGATATAGAAATAATACAAACGCGATCCAGGAGGCCACGCAAAAATTTCATTTTCGTCGAACTTTGAAGAATGCACGGTCCTTTTCGACGGTTTCTTGTGAACCATCTCTTCTTCTGGTTCCACTGGTTTCTTCTTTTTCAGTGAAGTGTGTATGAGAACAATAACGCAAATGTATAAGAAATAACACTAAGAACAATCTCTGTCTTTTTTTGGAAGGGGTATGATCTTGATGAGGAAGTTTCATTTGCATGACGTAGCATCCAAATCAGCTCCCTTCATCGAAATCACTTTCTCCAAGAGTTGAAAGGCAGAAAATTCATAGGAAAACCACGAGAAAACGCATAAAAAATTTGTAGTATTATATTATCTCTGTATTACTATCTCTGCCGCATTATCTCTGTACTCTCTGTATTACTATTTAATTATAATTTCCAGATAAAATCACCCCTTCGATTGCAATCAATATCGAAGGTAAAACTAACCTACTTTGCCTACCAGGAATTGCACAAAGCCTTGTCTAGAGAGAGGAGTATAATAGAAATTTCGAAAAGAAAACAAAACACGGGATATTCTGCAAAAACAGAAATGGGAGGTCTTAGCATTTGTCGTTCGCTGCGAACGCGCCGACGCCGGAGTATCTGGCGAAATGGCGTCGCCGCGAACGTGTTTAACCGTAGTCAGTTGTCTCAAAATAGTGCTGTCCCGGAGCCTCATTGCAATCTGAATGTTGAACACATAAAAGAGGCGCCAAAATTTATTGCGAAAGACTGCGAAAGACTCAAAAGATTCAAAAGAATCCAAAAGTTTTCACAAAAATTTTTGGATTCTTTTGAATAAACAATATAAAAAATTTTTGTGAAAACTTTTGGATTCTTTTGAATCTTTTGAGTCTTTCGCAATAAATTTTGGCGCCTCTTTTATGTGTTCAACATTCGTAGTCAGTTGTATTAAAAGCCATGTTATGAACAGCCATTTTGGAGATGTGTAAAGGTGTTTTTGTTTTTTTCAACAACGCATGGTTATACTTTACAGTAGCACCCTGTAACTTGTAGCTGGTTTTTACAAATCGAATGTAAATTTGTAAATCGAATATCGATAATCGAATGCCATGCGGCGCATTACAGTAGCAAAGTGCATTTTTTCGTAGTTTTTTCCGCTGTAGAATGTTACTCACAGCTTTTTTGAGCATGGATTTATTCAAAGTACTTATATACATGTACAAAGACATTGCTTCTGAGAAGGCAAGACGTTGAGCAAATTCACTAGCGACGACGGCAGCATTGTGAAGTACCGCATGGCGTTATATCTTGCGGCAGGGAACATGCCGCCCACCAAGAGCTCATTTGTGGTTGGCCAGGCGAGACGTGAGCCGACGTTTACGCATGACGTAGCACAGGATGTCGCGCAGGCCGGTGCACACTGACTCGCCTGAATAGGTCACTACATAAACGTACTTAGTAATAGACAAATCGTGGATCAGAGAAGAAGGGAGAAGGTGCTGCAGCGATATGTACTCCGCCCGAGGGCATGGTTGCCTCTCAGCTCAAACTTTTCTTGATAGGATGATTGTCAGGGATGTTCACCTGATTTTGCTGCACGCACTGCACGTTGCAGCTTTGCTCGCACTGAGGTTGGCACTGGGGAGAAGAAGCGGAAACTGCACCGTGCATCAGTCAGGACAACTGTGGCGTTTGTACCTGGAAGGAGTGCTAAAATATTGGATAATAGCACAAAATAATCAGGCCGCAGCATTCCTCAAATGGCAGGAAGTATTAAGACTATTTTGCTAAGAAAGTCTTACAGGTTGCTGCTGAACGCATGAGGTCGAGCAGGCCGGTTGGCACGCTGGTGCGCACTGAACTTGCTGTTGCCCCTGCAAACTTGCTGCGTACCTTAAGTGCATCATGAGGCGGGAGCAGCACAATAATAAACGGGAGATTTCAACACGCGAGCAAAACAACCTGCTGAGTTTGAATACACAAAGTTGTGGTGCAAGCTGGTTGACATGCGCGTGCTACGCATGCCTGTTAGTGGCTAGTGCGTCTGGAATTGCTGAAAGAATTTGTTTGAACTGCCGGTATGAGGTGTCATGCGTTGCCACTACCCCTGTAGCCCCGTTCCTGGTGCCTTTTTGACGCGGTTTTAAAGTTGTCGCGTAGGCCTTCTGCAGCATGCGGACTCTTTCCCTAGCACACGCAAAGGCATCGCATTTACCAGGTGGGTGTACAAGCGTCCTCAAAGAAAGGATTGTTGCAAATCAGAAAGCAGCTCCCACAAGTATTGTTTGTCCACTGCTGTGTAATCTCTCAGGCGTGTGGGTTGGATGTCGCGATCTATCGGCCGTGTCTATAGCAACCCAGCAACATACAAGCTTCTACTGGGAAGTATAAAAGAAAGCACGGTGCCGGAAAGTCGATTCGAATCAAAAATGGGAGCAAATATATCAAAACAGCGCATTCTAAGCAAGGCTTGCTAACTATAAGCAAAAAACACTTGAAAACCCCTCAACCGCCGCCAGTGCACAGTCAACACATGAATGAGGGGAGGGGAGGGAGTAGAACTGTTCTATGCCTTCGCGAATAATCGTACCGTTTTTGCACAAGTAGTACTACGTTTCTCTGAAAACTCGATATCGCGAGTATAGCAACAAGAGTGTACGGGAATGGGGCCGCAGGGTTGTGGTGTTCCTCCGTACTCCGCAAGTAACGGTAACGGCAACGTGAGTCATCATCCTCAAGGTAACGCATTTGCGTCGATCTTAAGGTCCCGTAGCGAAACAAGCGCTCGCAGTTCAGAGAACAATCAGAAGTGAAGGGTAGGCACAGCACAAGGCGTTCGGCTGTCTGATCGGCGTGTGGCTGCGTACGGAGAGCGTCGGCGGCCGAGGAAAAAGGAGACGGCATCCGCCGTCATCACTATCCTGAAGTTTCGATTTCCGTGCAGTTTGATCGGTGAAAAGGGGGGAGCTATCTTCCGCCCCTCCCCCCCCCCTCCCCTCCCATTACTCCTCTTTCTTCCCACACACACCAAGGAAAATGGTCTATGGAAGTGAGTGCACAGGTTGTCTTGAATATCTTTCGGGCACTACAAGCATTTAAAGTAGCTGCTCAAGTCAGAAACGGACTCATATCAGAAAAGCAATCTAGACATCCCTGTTTAATGCTGCCCCTCCAGCTTCTTTTTTTAGGGTACCTAGATAGATCTCTTACTATGCTATACAGATTTTGCGGATGTGGTCACTTCCCCTGAAAGTCCGCTGAATAGGAAAATTTGTAATTGAATATAGAGTCTCCCTCACCGTAGTCTGGCACACGGACTGGCACTGTTGGTTGCACTGCATGTCGCAGTTCTGAGCGCCTTGCTGCTGACATTGCTGATGGCATTGATTTTGGCATTCGTTGCATTGGTTACTTTCGGCGTACTGAAACGGTTTCGACCGATTTACCACGATAGATTCACTATGTTTCTGCAAATGTATGCACCCATGGTGCATTGGTATATGGACCAGTGACCAAGGGAAATCAGAAACTGTTCGTTGGCGTTCCTTAGACTTAAGCCATTTTGTCTCAACAAAGGTGCTATACTTACTGGTTGGTAAACCTGCGGTTGTTGTCCACAAGCCGATTGGCAGTTCTGCTGGCAGATTTGTTGGCACTGTTGCTGAGGCTGCCCAGCCGCTTGACATTCGTTCATACATGCGTTTTGGCACTGCTGACACGGATTTTCTTCACGGTATGGCTGATACATTTGCTGGAAACATTTTTATCAAACATGGGAAAAATCCGGCCAGCGCATCGCTGGTGGGCAACAAGCAATCCCGATCTGCGAGCAGAAGTCTCTTGCAGAAACTTGTTAAACATTTAAGATACAGTCATGACGCTGATGTCACTCTAGTGTGCTTCCGATGTAAGTCACTTTGTACAGCCTACTAAAGTGGGATACTTCCGACATGCACAAAGAGAGCAAGTTGGTCGGTTCGCACGCGAAACTCCCGCATTTACCTGATGACCAAAAGAATAGGCGGGAAGTTACAAAAACCGTTTCTTCTTCTACGGCTCCCGTCCACCGTATCAGCGGCATGGGCACACCAATGTACAGGGGGGGGGGCCAAAAAAAGACACTTTGACCGAGTCACATACCAGCAAAGTTTTCGCAGCCCAGACAGAGGACGTGGATACGAGTACCAGGGCGGAAGATACCCAAGATGTTCCTCGATAAGCAGGAGCAGGCTCTCGCCCATCACCTTCATGTACACCAAAATATGAAGTCATCTCCAATCGCAGCCTAAGTGGAGAAGGCCTATGGAGTTCACGTCAGCTCCGAACAGCTGCAAACTTCCTGTATCGAGTCACCCATGGACAACCACCTGCGGGGCAGCACTCTTGATCTAAAGATCTTCAACATCAAGCAGCTCCGACAACGTCGCTACGCTCCAGGATCTCATCCTCACTGCAGTCGTCAAGGGTGGGATGATGATATGAAACAGAAGTTCCTGGAATGGAGAACCATTATTTTCTTCGATGACCCCGGAGTGAAAGTGAAGCGCTGACGATTACATCAAACAAGTCGAGGAGAATATCCTGCCCTCATGTCGTCGCCTGTACCATCTTCGAAAATTCGTACTGCTACAGGATCGGGGTGCCAGCCCAGAAGGCTGTGGCGGGGCATCATGATAATAAATAATATGCTCTTGAATATGGTGGTGGAAATGTCCTATCAGAATTCAATTAAGCGCAACTTATAGCGCCCTGAAAGTCAAGTAAGAAAAGTGACTTTTTTGCCCTCCGTATAGTTGTGAGCTTTTCTCTACCCATTCCGCTATCGCAGATGCTAATATACCTGATATGCTTGGGGCCCATTTTTCACATTATTTCGCCGCTAAGCTCCAGGAAATCGAAGGTGGTATAGTGGCAAGTGGCATATTTACCACTCGCCAGGTGAGGTCAAATCTTAGACCTCCCACCAAAGTCATCGGTAGCGTATTTGCCTGGGAGTATAAGGACACTAATTCGTGCACAGGCTGCCTCTCCCCATCCATCAGGTGACTGTATAGGCCACATAGCATTCAACAAGCCATTACGCTTCTGTGTAGGAATAGAATACGAGTCGCATCCAAGGAAGGGATTGATCATCTGCGAAGACTTGATCCTTTACTCTTTATAAGCTCGATGAGGGACTACGCTCTAGTTTGTATAAGCGCGCCCCTCTCTGTCTCATCAACTATGATCTCAACCCACTTACACCTCCCTGTGCCGTTATAGTTTCGCTTCGCGAGAGCGCGTTCATACTTGGCCGACCCGATCGCGCTATCGAATTGCTCAATCCAGTGAAAAGACAGAACTCAAATTGAGCGGCGTTCATAAGCTGTATACATAGATGCGACCCGATTTGAATTTTTTCACACTTTGCCAAGTCACTCACACGATTGCACTTTCAATCCTTTCGGTCACTTTTCACATTTTGCTCATCGGAAGTTTGCTGGGATACTATCTGTCAACATCACAGAGTGTGGGACAAGCTTTGACCGATAAGAGAAAGAAACCAACCGTAGTAGTAGGTGGATACGTGATGGGAGGCATGGTGCCTGCATTGGTGAGATAACCGGCGTGTGCTGTATACTGCGCTGAGGACTGCTCGCCGGCACGGAAATGCTGGAAAAAAGCTTTCATAAACGAGAAATTCAAGTTCGTTCACTTAACATTTTATGAATAGCTCGGGAGCACTCTGCAAATCATTAGTGTATTATGGTCCACCAGAATGTACCTATATCTTCTGTTCCGACCTTGCTTAAATAATCATCTTACGACTGTGAGTCGCGATTGTAGCGCTCAGGTCAGAATTTCTGGGTGCTGCTTGGATAAACAGTGAAGAAAACAGCAGAAGAAAGACGTCAGCAAGTGGTCCTAAACGAAGGTCCGAGTCATTCACCCACTCGCCAACTCCCCCATCCCCCCCCCCTTCAATCCCCTTCGCCACAGGATTCAACCTACTCGCCCGTATTTAATAAATAGCGGTCAAAACCACATCAGGCGGTATATGATGGCGGAAAGTAATATATGTCAGATTTGGGAAACTTGCGGAGCACGCGTTATACGGTAGCAGCCTGTCCTCGGACTGCAGAGTCCTTGTTGGGCATAAACAGTGACGCGACAAAAAACCAGACAACATCTGTCAAGTGCGAACACAATCGCGCTAGCAATGAAGGGATGATTACCTATATATCATTACCAGACTGAAGAGGGCTGCTGATCAGAGCTAGATCACAGACGCTGGCCCATTCCTTGCAACGGCTCTAAAAGAGCGAAAAGGAGCACTGCGGTGCGGTTGCGCACCGCAGTGCTCCTTTTCGCTCTTTTCATTCTCGCTTCTCATCTGAACGCAGTTGGGTTTACAACCGAGCTTCACCCAATAAGGAAGGCATTGGAATTCGAAGCAGAGGGCAAGCGACCACGAGGAGCCCCAAAGAAAAGATGGAGGGACGTCATCAAGAAGGACCTCACTGAAGTGAAAGCCACAGCAGAAGATGCAGTGGATCGGAACAAGTGGCGACGTCTAACAACATCGGACCCTAAGACTGTGCGGGAGTAACGCTAGAGAGGAGAAGAAGAAGAGTGAATTGTGCCCTTACAGTCATTTGTCATACCACTGTCTGCTATTAAGAAGAAAATCCACTTGGCAAAGGAAGACCGTGATGAGCCAGCGGAAAGCTCGTAGGTATCGGGGTTGAGAAACAGAATACTGACTTTTTCGTGAAGAAGAAAGGAAGGAATCTGTCGAAAAGACTCCAAATAAGTCTACTTGTGCCACTTGAAAGACATGTGGATTTCGGAAGGGAGGAACAGCGAGAGCATGCAAGAGAAGGAGAGCATAATCAAGTCATCTATCAATGTAGGCGGAGTCACTTGAGCAGCTTTCTTCTCCGCCGCTACTTTGCCACGGTTACGTGACATCTTGAACTTCTGTGCATGGTCCTGTTACGAAACCCTGTGACGCAGAGGGATAGAGGTGGAAGAATCATATGGCGAGCCAGAAAACGGGCTTTTTCAAGGGGAGGGGACTCCGGGGTGGTGAGCTACTTATAATCGGTGAAAAGCTGGAATGAGCGAAGTCACAACGGCCATAGAGTGCCATGCGGACGAGAGAGTGCAGAGAAAAAGAGAAGATCGACGCGTTTAAAGGATTGAGTTCAGGTCAAGTTCTCCGTAGACCCACTGTCTGCCGTGAAAGTCCTAGAGGGTTGGTCGTTCGTCGTTGCAGCTCACGCTACCTCTCCGTACGATGAGCTCAGATAGTTATAACTGATGGTGGGCTTTGCCTTCAAGGAGTAGTACCGAATGTCCGTCATTGCGCCATATCTACTCCATCCCTCGTTATTTGTTTGCTTGATTATTTCCCAAAAGTCGAGTACGTTTTTATTCACTCCCCTATGTTCTCGAAAAACAGTGCACTCTGTGCTGAGCCTATCTCGCGTGTCGCACAATACAAACAATGCCATCGGCAGCTCCGAGACGACACAGTGC